AGGGAAAAGGAGGGGGGGGGGGGGGGCAATAATGCAGAAGAATGGAAGCTTGCAACAGCAAGGACCAGCAGGAGAAAGAGACTTCCCTCAAAGCCTGAGGTACCCTTGCAGAACAGCTTCACCACTTTGCAGACTGAAGAGGAAAGACCCGTCACATCAGGAGAGATGCTGGAGCTAAGTGAGGCAGCCTGGTCTGCTCCCTATGTAACAACCAGAACAACTAAGAAAAGGTAATGGGTGATAGTAGTAAACTCCCTTCGGAGAGGTAGAGAGGCACCCATCTGCTGACCTGAGGCACTCTCTAGAGAGGTCTGCTGCTTTCCAAGGGATCGTATCAGGGATGTCACCGAGACACTACCAAGCCTTGTACCGTCCACTGGCTATCATCCACTGCTGTTGTTTCACATGGTCACTAGTGATACACCCAGACACAGAAGGCAAAGGCAGGGACTGGGAGAATGAAAAACCACCCGCTGTAGGAGAAGATCAGGTTTGAGACCATCTAAGGAACGTGAAGGTGCACAAGTCCATGGGACCTGATGAGATGCATCCACAGGTCCTGAGGCAACTGGCGGATGAAGTGGGCAAGTCACTATCCATCATATTTAAGAAGTTGTGGCAGTATGGGGAAGTTCACACTGACTGGAAAAGGGGAAACATAACCCCCATTTCTAAAAAGAGAAAAAAGGAAGACCCAGGGAACTACAGGCCAGTCAGTCTCACCTCTGTGCCCAGCAAGATCATGGAGCGGATCATCCTGGAAACTATGCTAAGGCACATGGAAAATAAGGAGGTGATCGGTGACAGCCAACATGGCTCCACTAAAGACAAATTGTGCCTGACAAATCTGGTGGCCTTCTATGACAGGGTTACAGCCTTGGTGGATAAGGGAAGAGCAACGGACATCATCTACCTGGACTTGTGCAAAGCATTTGAACCTGTTCCACACAACATCCTTGTCTCTAAATTGGAGAGACATAGATTTGACAGATGGACCAGTCGGTGGATAAGGAACTGGCTGGATGGTCGCACTCAAAGAGTTATGGTTAATGGCTTGATGTTGAAGTGGAGACGCGTGACAAGTGGCGTTCCTCAGGGGTCAGTATTGGGACCGGTGCTGTTTAACATCTTTGTTGGCGACATGGACAGTGGGATTGAGTGCGCCCTCAGCAAATTTGCCACCAACACCAAGCTGTGTGGTGCGGTCGACATTTTGGAGGGAAGGGATGCCATCCAGAGGGACCTTGACAGGCTTGAGAGGCAGGCCCATGTGAACCTCATGAAGTTCAACAAGGCCAAGTGCAAGGTCCTGCAATCCCAAGCACAAACACAGGCTGGACGATGAGTGGATTGAGAGCAGCCCTGAGGGGAAGGACTTGGGGGTGTTGGTTGATGAAGAGGAAGGAATTCTTTACCGTGAGGGTGGTGAGGCACTGGAACAGGTTGCCCAGAGAGGTTGTGGATGCCCCATCCCTGGAAGTGTTCAAGGCCAGGTTGGATGGGGCTTTGAGCAACCTGGCCTAGTGGAAGGTGTCCCTGCCCACGGCAGCAGGTTTTGAACTAGATGATCTTTAAGGTCCCTTCCAACACAAACCGTTCTATAATTCTATGGTTCTATGGTTCATTTAAAGTGTCAAGCTCAGTCTTGGTGGCATGTTTTAAAAAACTTCAGCTTTCATCAAACTGGCTTCAAATGCAAGTTATTGTTTTGGCTCCAGACACTACCCCCATGGTCAGACATTTTTCTTGTCATGTAAGAAACCATTTTCCTCTTTTGGATCAAAAAGCAGTACATGGTCTTGTCTACAACTTGGAGCACTTTAAGGAGTTTTCACAGTTTTCTTTTTGACCCCCTGGACACAGACCATCACTTACCCATTTCATTGCAAACATCTGCCTAAGTAGCAGCAACACACATAATTATGCCTTGCCTCAAGTCCTTTTTTTGCTGACAAAAAAGTAAAAAAGCTGCCAAAAGCTTATTTTACCATATGGAGGGAAAAGAATTTCTTCTCAGGAGCTGGGGGGGCTAGAGAGAAGACATACAATTAAAAATTTCATTTACACTATCATGCAAAAGTGCAGCGAGGTATTTCTAAATGGAATCATGATTCTAAAAGAGATCTCCAAGTTTCCAAAAAGATAGAGATTTACTGAATTAAGTTATTCTCTGAACTATTGTCTTTCCCTCAGTTTGGGGATTTAGATACGTTGAATTCTCATCTTTTTAAATCAAAAAACTTCCTCCCCGAATTGTAATTTCAGATTACAGAAAGCGCAGGGTTCTCAGTCTACCAAATGTGTGTTTCCCAGCCACTGGCAGACATGCACTGGCTTACACCTCTTCCCCTGTGGAACCACCATGGATGAGTCAGCTCCCCCCCTTCACCTCAGCTCTTCCATTCTTTAATCTGGCATAATTACTTCTCTCACAAAAGCATGCAGTAAATTCAGATCTAATCATGGCTTTGAGCTGGCATAAGCTTAAAAAGATACAAAAATGCTAACAGGAACTCCAGTTACTCATTGCAATTTTGAGCAAAGAGAAAGGCATCAATTAATTTTCAAAGGACAAGTACAGTGCTACTGCAAGAAAGTTGCATGCTAAAATTGTACTGAAACATCTTCTTTTCATATATGTTTCACCCAAGTAAACTTGGGTGTCTATTAATCTGAGTCACATTTAAAACAACAGCAAGAGCTGATAGCTTCCGTGCCATGCCTGCAAAATAATTACTTCTACATTGCAAGGCTATAATTATCTCTGATACCAGAGCAACTTTATACTGTGCTAAAGCCTTGCTAGTATTTCCTCCATAAAATAACAAACTTTGACACAAACAGTACTTAAGCATCACCACAGAGATACAGCAAAAACACAGATATAAGCTAAAGAGCAAGAGAGGAAATTTGAATGGAATTACCTTATTGTGCTAATATAGTCCGACCTAATATTTTAAGGGGTCATCCAAGAACCTTTGTTTGCAGAACAAAGCAGGGTCAGTCAGATTTTGCTCTGTTTGACTCAAAGATTTCCCAATACTTGTAAATCCTCCATATAACCAGACACAAAGATTAGAGGACACAGTTTTAATTATGCTTGTGTAAGTATAAAAGAGTACCGTTGATTTAGACAAGTTTGAAAAACACACAAAGTATATATCTATGTTGAAATAAGAAATTAAATGCAATAAAACCTATATCTGATCTTTTTGTTTTACAAGGAATGTTTTCAGTATCTGTCTAAGTTAAGTTTTGGAGCTGAAACAGTAATCCAAAAGCAGTGCCTTGCACAGATCAGATTATTCTTCCTTGCCAAATAGATCATCCAGAAGAGGTAAGTATTTGATCCCTTTCACAGGAATGGATGGTGGTTGTCCGCTCCAGTCATCTTCATTCTGAAATTAGTAACCCGAAGAATATCTTAGAATATAATATTGAAAACAAGAATAATTAAAAGCTGGTCAACATAAGATTGAATGAGCTGCTTCATTTCCACATACAAATCTGTGAAAAAGTGGACCATAATATAGCACATCCTCTTAAAAGATTACTACACGCACATTTTTATCAAACTTGCAGAATATTTTATTAAAAATATTTTCGATCATTAGCCCTTTTGCTGATATTTTCAAATTAAATAATGCTATATTTTCTTTATTAAGATGCTTATACTTGAAAATCTTGCAAGTCATCTATATCTCAACACCAAAAATCATACAAAATAATGAGAGAGAAAGAAGAAAAAAGTCAGCTAAACAAGCACAACTCTGTTGCTGAAATCTATCTGTCAAAGACAGGTACTGTAGCCCCAAAATATTGCTGTTAATTCATGGTAAGTCATGAACAGAATGACAATTGGATTCTAAAGTTGAATGAGATTTAAATCCCTTCCTTTCTCTGATTTTTTCCATTTCTTATTGATCTCTTCATTAAAATATTCTTGTACTGTACCAAAGATAGCCTAGGTATTGCAGCTAACTAACAAAATAATAATGTTGATAAAACTCTGTAAACTATACTGGCACCAATTTGGGCGCAGTTCATTAAAAACAGTGCTATATGTCAGTATGACAGTTACAGCAAGGCTTTGGAGCTGATGAGGAACTGATTATGCCAGCATGATGACGACTGATTACAATTTCTGTTGATGTTCTTTCTTCCTTTTTGATTTCAGCTGTAACCTTCCTCACATAACTCCATGTACCATTCTCAACTGGGCCTCCTGGGCATCAGCCACTCCTGGAAAGCCCATCCACTGGCTGTCCTCCAAGGAAAGATAACATCTTCTTCATACCCAAACAAAACCTCATCTCTTATGCCGATCAGAACACCACAAATGTCCATTTCAACCTCCTGCTTATTTCACAAGCACCTTTTTCTCCACACCTTCAACTTGTGAAGGCTGCGTCTTGGTTCCACCGCCACTTGCAGCCCACCTTCACCCCATAGAAGCCATCTCATTCCCTCACCTGCCAGAAATCAAGTCATGCTCAATGGCTAGATAAGCCATCCTGTGAGGGGAAAAAAAACGGTCAAACACATTCAACAGCAAGTGTATCTGTGCCTCTGCTTCTTTCACCCTTGCTTTTTGGTACAGAGCTTAGCACCACCTTCAAGGCAAAAATCCTCTGGGCACAGGCTCTGAAATTCTTTTTGTTTCTGTGGTACTGAGGCTCACGAAGCCCCTTATCCTGACACAACCTCCTGCGAGCAGTCACTGTTTAAGTAGAGTTATAACTTAAGCACAGAATTCTTCCGTAAAATCAAAGAATATCCACTGAACAAAACCTAATGCACACTTTGAACCACAGGACTGCTGTATAAAACACATGGAAGGGCTTTGATTTTATCTGTACAAGATGGAAAAATTGTTGTTAATGACAAAGTGAAAAAGAAACCACTATGGAAAGCAGAGCAAACCAGCAGCATTGGGCCCTCATGAGATGCTACAGAAGAAAGAGCTGGTAAGCCAAGTAAGAGAGAGGAGTCGAGTTAATAGCACATTACTTGAGGAATATTGGTTTAAACTATGTAGCCGTTGAACTTGAATTTAAAGGAATGCTATGTTTCTAAACGGTTTGAATACAATCAAACACATCCTGTACAAGTATAGCAACACATTGGCTAGGTCAGAACAGCAAAACTATGTGTTGGCAGAAGGGCTTCGGATTTATCTGTTATGAAGTTTTTAAAAATCAGTAAAATTGCCTTATGCACCATCTATTTTAAAATGTTCCATTCAGCACAAGATGGCAAGATCAGATTAATCTCTGCAGTTTGTTGATACCACATCTTTATTTACCCTAAGTAGCAGGCTGGTGGAGATACACAAACTTGATCCATCAATACTGTTCTTGCTGTACGCCTACCCGTGATGTGGTGTACTATATACAAGGTTCTATGGAGTTATAAAAAATATATAGCTATTTTCTGCAGTGTCAGTGGTGTTTAAACTATTTCCTGACTACCTCAGCAAGCAAACAGATCGTTTGACATATGACAACAATATTTGTGGGTGAAGCGGTATTCACGCCCATTGTTCATGGACAAATACACCTGTTTCCCCTTCTCTTTTTTTTTTCTTCTACAAAAATGTCACAGACATGTGACACCTATTAGGCATGGGGGTGTTACAGGGCTCCTCGTCCCGGTTTAACTTCTCTGCTTCGTTCTAAATATCCCAGAAAAAATTAATTACTTGAAGAAAACAGGTGCAAATACGCAAATATGAAAACCATTGTGGTCTCCATTGGATAAAGCACTCATGTTAACATTGGACAAATTATATCAATGTACTGTACTGTTCCTTTGCTCAGATACACTGGTTTTACCTTGAAAGGAATCTTTATCGTCTGGCAAGCAGGGATTTGATTCTCTCTCCAGTTCAGCCCATCCACAAACTTCTTATATTCCACTTGCTTATGGTCATTTTCAAACCTAAGCAGAATATCCATAAGATGACTCAAGGTTAAAGGAAATTTTTAACAAAGTTGTATCATATTACATACAGCATACTAATGCATTACCTTTTGGATAAAAATTTTTTACTCCTTTGTTACCAAACACCAGCAGGAGTACAGAAAAACACTACCAAACTCTCAAAAACTTCTATATCATACATTCTATTCCATATTCTTACACCTTATTATTATCTCTCATAGTAGAATTCAACTTCTTTAAGGTTTATTACATTTCAAGTAATTTCATTTTACTTTTGAAGCTTTGCCCAACCTTTTCCAACACTGGGAACTCACAATTGGTGACAAAGATAGAGTTGGGATGATCAGTGTATGATTCCTTTGTGTAGAAAAGAAACAGGTAGAATGACACGAGAGAGCTGTGTTATAACACAACTGACGGCTTTATATGATTCTACAATCATTTTCTGAAAGCAATCCTTCAGAAATGCTGTTTGGATACATCTTGGGATCATTTTACAATTGACAAACACACAGCTCTCTAACCTATCAAATAATAGCCAGATTTAAAAATCACAAGCCTTGTCATTTGGCAGTTGTTTCATGGCATTGTTCTTTATTTGTATGGAATAAATATATATATATTTGTGTCAATTATGAGGGTCCCCTAACTGCATGAAGATATATATGCCGCCAGCTAAGGTCTACAGGTACATGTGGAACATGCTATCTCCCTCCCTCAAATTTCTAAAATCATTACCCTGCACTAACAAACCCCATGGGAGCAGATTTGTAAGTCACATCATCCTTCTGCCATTGATTTGGATGAAGCAGCTTCAGCAAAAAAGTCCTCAATTCAGCAGAACACTTAAGTGATTAAGGCACTTGGGAACCACTGTTATTTCAGTGGGACTAGTCAAATGCTTGAAAGATACCCACAAGCTGAAGCTACCATGCAAATCATTCTTGAAATGAACAGCTTAACTGCTCTGCTATAAATACCATGCTAGCAGTTTCTGTGAATGACATCTGTCTCACCTAACACTAACTACATATAAAAGGGACCTCATTTAGGCATATAAGCCCACCCTGGAAGTGTCTGTGTTTCACTGGGGTCCATGGAGAGACATATACAACTAGCAAGACTCAGTACCTACTCTTTGGTGGGAAACATCAGCTTAAACAGTTCTGCCCTATAATCTGGTGAGACAAATACTACTGCACAGGAGCAAGATCATCTCCAAGAAACAAGTCTTTTAAAAAATTATTTTGTCTTGTTCTTAAAGAAATAGCACTGCACAAAACATGGGCCTCAAAACCCTTCAATCACTGCAGAATGTTCTGGTAAAAATTAAGCATGAAGGTACTTTAAGGGAGAATTTACAGCACGAACTTGGAAAACAATACCGGAGAAGAGGAGAAATATATCTAGTGACAAAAATAAACTGCAATAAACTGCAACTCATCCTCTCCTTCTCCTCCCCCCACACCTTTCATTTAATAGTCAGCAGGAGAGATAATAATAAAATATACTGAGAGCCATAAACAGAGACGCTAGCGATAAACTGGAATGTTAAGTACAGAGAGTTACGCTGAAGATGAAAGCAAAGTCAGAAAAGAATGCTACTGTTACTAGTATTAAAGAGGAGCCTGAAACATTGCCAATGAGAAACCCTCCTATGATAGCTTGCTGCTTTATAATAGCTCACATGCAAGTTAACATTTTCATAAAGCCTTGCTTTTGGGGAATATATCCACTACATAAGAAAATTATCATTCCCACTTCTAGGGGGTTCTTGTTTCTTTCAGATTTTTTTGCAGGTGGCAATTGGGAAAAGAAAGGAGTTTTGCATTAGAAGTAACGAGACAATAAAAAAGCTTATACCTCTTGGCAAAAAACTATGGCACAAAGATTTTTAATTTCAGAACTATCATAATGATTGTTTTCTTTTACTATATATGTATTTATCTTTTGCTCATTGTGAAAAGTCAAAAGATTAAGTCTACTGCCAAGATGCAGAGCTGCATAAGCAGGATTTTTAAATAAAGAACAAGTGAAGGCGTGGAACTAGTTGAGGCAATGAAGTCAAGGAAAGCATTGCTTCTGCTTTCGACAAACTTTAACAGGGAGAAAAGTCCTTTGATGTGACAGCACTGGCAAACTGAGATGACAACATGGGCATGAAGCTAACTATAACTAAAGATTTTAACACGGGCAGAGGAAACAGAATTCCTAAATCCCATATTTCAATAGCTACAGAAAGCAGCTTAAAATATTACTCCAGAATAATCCAGAAAGAAAAAAAAATAACCTACTCTTTAGTTCTCTTGCTTGCTGTGACTTACTGTATCAATCTACTAAAAGCACACACTTGCAATTTGGCACAGAGTATCCAGATGGACTAAGGAGATGTTATCAATTTGTGCATTGTTAGGACAGAGATGTCATACATTTCAGTGGCTGGAGTTAATATGACTGAAAGTGACAGTGCTCTTCAGGAAAGGAAATTAGATTTGTCTTATCAAGAAGATGCAACAAAGATCTCTTGAAACCATGCTTCTCTTCAGTTTTGCCCTATGACTTCACCAATGCATGTGATTTTAGACTATGAAATCACTCCCCCATCCCTATCATAGTTTGCAGAGGTTTTTTTTTTTTCCTTTGACATTACAGAAATAATCGCACATTTCTGCTTCTAAAAATATATTCATAATTAAATACTCCAGATACGTGAAAAATCTGGTTAAATCCCATTATGACCATTCCTGAGGATGCTTTGGTGAGTAAAGGCTACTTATAAATATTTTTTCTTTCCCATCAAGAAATCTGTAACCAAAACATTTATGTGAAAAGTTCATGTACATACAGAGGTTTTTTAATTCCTTAGTTTTGAATAACATTTATTAAGAAGTTAATCTTATAATAGAGGAGAAGTATCATGCTGCTTTAACCTTAGAGAAAATGTTGGGATTCTTCAGCCTGTTTGATAGTCTCTGTGTAACACAGGTATAAACTTAAATTGTCATAAACTGCTCATAAGAAAAGATTTAAAACAGCAAGCATGGACAAATATATGCAGCTGATCAGTATGAATTAAGTAAGGGCTACCACCTTGTGTATACATTTATTCACATCTTGAACAAGTATAAATTGAACCATCAGTTCCTCGGGACACTGAATAACAGAAATAATTTCTTTTAAGAGATCCAAATATTAATGCTAGAGAGTCTTTTCATCACAAATGGCATAGGGAGTCTCAGGCATCAAAGCTAATGAGCAGAAGACAGAGTGCAGGAGAAAGATCTTGTGACCATTTCCAATCTTGCTCCTGCTACCAGGACACTTGCTGTAGCAGGAAAAGAGGGCTTGCTTCCTGAAAGAAATAGGTCAGCCCTAAAAAAACATTACAGGTAGGCAACTAGGTAAAAAATTATTACCCAGCCACAAACCAGGGCAAAGCTGAGCAGGCAGGAGCAGCCTGGCCTGGCCTATTAATGACTTGAGAACTGGGATGACCATGTAGAAGGCCCATTGTTATCAGGGACTGCTACCTGAGATAGTAGGGATTAACTTTTTCAAAACAACAAGCCCCCCTCCAGAGTCCAATAGTCCTACCCTGGTACTGTGGAGAGGTGAAGAACTACACAGCTGCTTTTAACAGAAATTAACTGACATATTTTAAAAAATAGGGACATATGCTTAACAACTAAACTAATGCAGAACAACCAATGTATAATATTTGTAAACTTGTCATCCATTCTTTCTTCGCTCCATTTTTTCTTTCCTTATCTGCCAGCTGTTTATATAACCTCTAGGGAAGGACTGCATCTTTTTAAGTCCTTGTTAGCATACATTTAGCATTGCAGTAAATAGAAATAACAGAAAAAAAACCCCTAAATTCATCACTTGAGCACTTTAGCAACATTTATTTATTAAACAAACTATAATTGTTCATTATGCCTGCATAAATTTAAAGAAATGTTTACAATGACTACTGTAGTTTTCTGGCAGAAACAATTGTGTACCATCTGCACTGCTCAATACATTGTGATTAAAAGTCTGTATTGCCTTGTGATTAAAAAACTAAGTGAGAAAATGCTGATGGAGAAAGGAAATGCTTTTTAATAAGCCAGCTCAGGTAAACTGGAAAAAAGGACACATTGTTGGGTACCTAAATCCTACTATTTCACCATCCCACAATTAAATATATAAATTTACACTAGACAGACAATATGAAAGGGTCTTATAAAACCTCAGTCTTTGTGCTAATTCTCCCTGTACTCTGTGGAAACTGAATGGTCTTTGGGTACAGTAAACAAAGTGTTGGGTCATCTGGAGGCGACCACAAAATTAGACAGTAACTTCTAGTCCCATCCCATGCTTTTAATGAGTGACAGATCATTGCAGTATAATTTACAAATGTAAATAATAAATACTTTAAGAGTATTACCTTTCAAAATAGAAAAATAGAACCATTAAGTCCTACAGAAAGTCTTTGCCACCTAATCTCAGATAGCAAAGCTGAATAAACATATAGCTTCAGTCTTCAACTATTATCTGATCACATCATCTAGCATCATTTTATAGCTGAATGGGGTCCAGCTAGTGCATTAGCTATATATACTGATTTTGTGGGAATCAATCCAACAACTTTTATTGTACCACTTTTTTCCTTCAAAAATACAGATATACACAGCAGGAACACCACCACCACCACCACTTGCTTCAGAAACATCAGTTGACACAAAATTACATGCTTCCTCATTGGAAAAAAACAGGGAAGGAATATTGTTGACAAACTTTGCCCACATTGAATTGCATGCTCCCCAAGAGCGAGACTGTTCTTCATTAACAATAAACCTGCCTGTTTCATGATTCTTCAGTCTCAAAACTACAGGAAGCAAGAGGAAAGAAAGAGAAAAGTCTAAATCTCAGGCAGCCAACTCTACTCGTCGATTTCTAGATTACTGGAAATTAACTCCTATTAAATAGACCTCAAAAAAAAAATCTTTCCCTAACTCTGCACCCTCATGAAACAATTAACTTACCAAGCAGCAACAGCTACACACATTATTAAGACTGTGACAATCTTCATTCTTACTTGCAGTGCAGTGACTCACCACAAACTGCCATCTTTCGAAGCAGCTGATATGTAACTTAGAACTGGCATTACATATAGCACGCTATCATATGAAGTACTTCTCACACTGATTTCTGAGGCCCAGCTTCACACCATTTATCTTTCTCATACAGAAATCTCAACACAGGCTGGCCACAGCCCCTTTAGAATCAAAGGAAAATGGATGGTAATTTAGAAATCCAGCTCTTACACAGGCTGAGGAGATAACTATTCCCTTCTCCATCGTCTAGAGAAAGAACCTCCAGCGGGTGAATCCTAATTCAGCTGTCATGGGTACCTGGCTAAAGCTGGGTGAAATCCAGCCCTTCGTTTTCTCCTTGTCTTCTAAGCTTATCTCTAATTTTTATTACAATATACCGGGCTTTTTCTTTTTAACTGCCTACACTGAGACTCTTCAGGAGAGAAGAGGTTCATTTCACAAAAGCTTTCCCTGGTATAAATTCACAAACAATAAACTTATCTCTGGAGCCTATGATGTGCCAGGCTTGTCTGTTTTTCATCAGCATTGAGTTAGTACATAAAGGAAAACCTCCAGTCCCTTGTCTGTGCATCTATTCAATTTCAGCCTTTATGAAGTGGAAACTATGAGAACCCCTTGTCCAGTACAGGATGTCAATTGTCCTCCAACACTTCTTCTGTTGGGCAGCTTAGTGGGAGATCTAAAAAATGAGTTTTAGATTAATGCTAAGATTCAGACATGCTTATGATGACTAATGCTTCTAACCTAACTGTCACAAGTGATGAACAGCAAATTGCCAGAGTCATCTATCTGGCTACTGCAGGGAACTATTCTGAAAGTTTTTGGTCTGGAAACAGGGGCTTTGTGAAAAATAGCCCCTTAGGCTTCTTAAAGCAGTCTTGTTGCTATTGATTTAAGTAGGAAGTCTTGCTTACAGTACAAAGATGCTTCATTAAAGTGGATTCCACATTTCTGCCAGACAAGAGTCTTTTCATTATTCGATAAATCCAGATGCTTAGTTTGCAATTCCTCCTGAAATCAAGAAGCATATCTACCTAAAAGCATCTAAACATGACAGAAGACAAGACCTGCTTCTGCTTTTGACACAGTATGAAGGCACAGACAAAACATTTAAGGATTTCCCACAAGGGAAAGAAGAGACCAAAGAGCATGCATTTAAACCTATTACCAGAAAATCTGGCCATGAAAACCAAACTCAACATGACGTAAGTGTTCAAAACACCACAGGTTACTCTGAACTACTCTTACTCTAGCCTTTAATACAAGCACTGAATACTAGTTCTTTTCACTTCTATTCCCATTAATACAGCTAACCAATAATTTGTCTCGAAACAATTAAATGTTCTATAGAAAAATACCAAAACCATGCCAACACTCCTTTACCTTTTTAAAAATTACAATAAAATCTGTTTCAGGTGAGATTAATGGGAACAACTTTTATTTACTACTGATGCTGTCTACTTGCTTCGAGGACATTTCATTGTATTCATCTTGGTACGTTCCTTAAAACTCACATAATGTGCTTTCACAAGATTATTGGTTTTACTTTACATATACTCAGGAACAACTAATGCAAAAAAAAAGTGAATCTCATTGATAATTATAAGTATCAGTATCTGATTCCCATAAGACTAATTCCATAGAATTCTGGAAAAAAACCAGATGATCTACCATGCCACACAAAATGAAGACAAGTTGCTAAGACAGATGCACCTCAATTGATCATAAATATTCTATAAATAGGAAAGTCCCCATGTGTATAGAGACAAAATCAGCATTATGAAATTATTAATCTTATATAAATGACAAATTCTTAAGAACTGTGTCTGCAGTAGATATTTAGCATTGATTTGCACCCATGCATGCAGGTCATACTATCTGCCCTTAACTTACATGGTCAGTAAAGCTTGCAGATTATCATCAGCCAGTGGCAATTTAAAGGACTTGCAAATAGTCCTGCACATCTCATGGGGCAGCACTCCACATCTACACAAACAGAAGGAGAGGGGGAGAAGTTTACATTAGGTATTTTCCAGTTTTACTGCAAGTGAATGTTGCTGTGAACTGGAAAACATGTGAGGAATATCAGGGTGAAGGGTAAAGAAAACAAGGTTTTATGAAATTTTGCTACTACAAAGCCGAGAAACTTGAAGTGTACATGGTGGCCTGTCTCCCCCATGCTGAGGTCTTTAGTGATTCTCTGTGATTCTTTATCTGTGACATCAGAGAACAAAAAGGCCAAATGAGTCATAAAAAGCATCAGCTACAAATCCTTTCTTTTTTCCCTTAAATCACCATTTTTCCTCCTTGATTTAAAATACTGTGTTTTGCCTGTGAACAGGCATCTGATTATGTCACAGAATATTCAGTATAGCAGCTATAATAAAAAGTCCACAAACAAAATGAAAAAGAGACAAAAAGGCTATCCTTTTGTTGTCTACTGTCAAGTGCTGAGAGAGGCTTAACATTACAAATAATATTCTTTGGCTGTAATATATCATTTGCTCAGCAACAAGCAGAAAGTAGGTAGGTTTACAAGCAGAGCTTCCCAAATAACGCTTAGGATAAATAGAGGAAACTTACTTTTCACGGTCATTGTATATAAGCACCGCAGACAGTTGTTCAAAATTCTCAAAGTTATTTTTCTTTAGTTGTTGTTGAGCAGCTGAAAGGAGGGAGTGGAGGTCTATTTCATATTCATCTCTCACACTGTAATAGCGCCTGAGAGTCAAAATTTCATGTTCTGAAAATGCTCCATCAGTGATCCTGACTATCAAATTTCTGTTCACAAAAACAACAGCCTACATTAGTTTTAAGTAAAGGAGTTAAAACCAGTTAATAATCACTAAATTTAAGGGGGGGAAGGATTAAAGTGCACTCATCATAAAATGCTGTATTTAGATCTTTAAAGAATGGATCTGCTTAAATTTTAAATCCAGATCTGTTCAAGTAGGTATAATGGAAATTACCCGAGCTCTTAAACTTTTGCAGAATGTCCACATTTCCACAGTAGTTGGCTATGGATACAAACCCACATAATAATGACTGAAGCCTTTTCCCAGAGGTGCCATACTGGCATGGAATATTAGCAAAGATTAATTTTATCATTGCATTTATCCAACAAGATAGTGAATTAACAAGGTATTACCTTGTTTTGTTCCTAATTATATTTTGCATTCTGCAGCACATGATTAATTATCTGTAAACACAAAGCATGCATAACAACAGCTGCATAAAATGGAGAGAGAGAATTAACAACATCAGAGGAGAAGTGGGGCAGAAGATCCCAACAGAGAACAGAATGTTAAGTGTCAAGCCACACTTCACAAAGTATTGTAAAAGCTGGCCCTGATTGGTAACTTTCAGGGGAAAGCTGGTGGGAGGAAAACAGGAATTAGTCACAGAGAGAGAGGGAAGAAAATTACACCCAACTTGTAATCACAAGCCCTCCTGGCAAGAATGGAAGACAGGAGGCAGTAGCAAGACCAGCTTATGCTTGGACACTGTCAGCAGAGAATCATGCAGGGAAGAGCCTGAGGTGTGCTCTCCCAAGATTGCGTGTGCTGCTCAGACAAATCAGCCCAACCCAAGAAGAAGAAATGTTCCTGAGATCCATCTGATGAGCCAGTGCTGGCACTGAATGACGAGTCATTCCTAATATCAACAATTTTTGGCTGGTAATAGAGCTGGAGTGATTTCTGGGTAAGCTCCTGAAGGCACTTGTATATCAGCAAATGGACACAAGCTTTGGAGCTTAAGAACCAGGTCTAGTAATTACAGTTCAGAACAATCTCCCTCTGCTTTATATTGTTGGTAGAGTGGAGGAGAAGGACTAATTTTAAAGACTACATTGTCTTTGCAGTAGGGGTTTTGTTGCCTTCAATGATTACAGAGTTCTTCATATGTCCTGGATGTTGACACAACATAAGGGAAGAAAAACACCAGTAGCAAGGTATTCAAGGAAACCTAGGAGGCTTCCTGCTCTCCTGGAAAAAACTGGCCTGAACTGTAGGTTACCTCAGCTGCTACAAGGCCTCTTGAAAAACCTGGCTTAGTGTAACTACATTAGCGTTATGATCCCAAACATCTGCCTCTGGTGAACTCAAGTTCAGGAGGATTTTTTTTAACAGCAAGCATCAACATAGGCCTATGTCCCTCAGTCAAAATTAGATTAATTATATATGATACTGCTGGATAAACTGCACTAAGAGTAAGCTTCACCATAATTGTTGATGCAATTAGAGCTGTACCTTGTGGTACCCTTGAGGGTACTGCATCACTGTGATTACATACCGATCTTCAAAAACTAATGGAAGAAATTATTAGTGATGCACAAAGTTCGGACACAAAACTCAAACTGCTGTCTGGAGAACAGTTAAATTCTTGAATGAATCTGATAATGGGTGTCTTAAGATCCACACGTGAACTGAAAGCACAGAAACTTAGTACCCTTCCAAATTGCAAAATTTTATCAACAAATATAATTTTTCACTTGCTTCCTCTCAGAGGCTTGTGCAGTCCTGTTCAAATGAAGATATCTCTTCATAGAATATGATTGCACTTATACAGCTATTCAAAAAAGGATGTTAAACACTCTATAGTGTCTACTTTGACTCAACTGCTGCTTTTTTCATATTAAATAAATCAGAAAGATCCTTTATTTGCAGTGGCAGGAGATAAATATAAGGACAAGACACATTGTTGACAGTAGCAAACCTTATTTGAGATTATGCAAACTCAATGACCAAAACTTGGTCCATCTATTAATATTATCATTATCTTGTCAGTATTATTTTTCCACTTACTGAATATTATTATTTGTTTTGTAGCAGCATTCAGAGATCCAGTCAAAACTGAAGCCTCTTTCCTGGAGCCTGCAGTAATATTACTGCAAACACAAAGAAGAGGACAATACTGCCTGATAAGCCTGGCACTCTAAATGCTTGGGCTGGCAAAGCTGAAAGCATGTAGATAACATCACCCATCTGAATATTTCCACAGACTGGATTTCTATACATGGCACAGATTTTTCCAGTGTCAGGATTTTAAAGGTCTTCTATTTTCTCAAGTCAGTCAGTGACAATCAAAGTCACCACCCCCACCCCCACCCCCCGACAAAATTATTGTCTCCTTTGGGAATTAAGGAATATTTTAGTGATTGCTAGGGACTAATGAGCGAGACCCAAGATTCGCAAACAGAATTACATCTAAACTCCTCCTGACAAAAAGAAACAAGCTGCAACATTTGTTCCCACAGCTTAGTTATCTTTTGTTTTACTTTTTTTTTTTGTTGTTGTAGAAGAATAAGACAGATTGCAATCTGAATTTGGTAAAGAAAGAAGAAATAATAATTAACTGCTTAAGAGAGCTCTTTCTCAAGCTGAATTGAAGACAGGCATCTTTGTTAAACCCACATGGTTCTTTGTCTCTAACAGCGGTCTTGCAGTAGCTTATGAGAAAAAGCAGTCTGGATAGGATCATGTGATGCACAGGCATCTAAGTTTTACTTATTTTTTTCTTCTCTTTTTAAGAAAGCTTTCAATAGTTTTAACGATAGCTTAGGTGATAGCTTCAGTGTACACAATGTATATATTTCCTGGACAATGATTTGGGTTCTGAATGTAGTTAAAGTAAACTGTATAACTACAATTCTGCTTCACTACATCATACTTAGAGGTGTATTTTTAAATGCAGCTCATATAAAATTACAGAGGTAGAAAGGAAGAAATCTGAACAAGCAAATTCAGAGCACAGTAAAGCTTTAGCTATATTTAAGATAAGAAAAGAGGATTATCATGTTGGTTGAAGCTGTCATAGAGATAATTGCCTGTACTAAAAATAATCATTTGTAGTTAGTTATAATCATGAAATGCCATGACAGATTAAAAATAAACAGTGATGTACACAAGAAAATACAAAACTGAAAGAAAAGTACATATTCTATTCACAGAAAATATCTTTGACTTTTCACAGGTGCAAAGAGTGCTCTCATCTTTGTCATTAAAATGTTTCTTTTGTTCTAAAATAAGATACATGGATAATAAAAAGAAGAGAGCCTTTAGATTACTGGGTATAATATGAATGAACAGAAACAAAATCTACTATCACTATAAAGCACAGAAGTTAAATGTTCCATAGAGGCAAATTCTTCCTCTGGCAGTGTGAATGCTCCCTGTTAGACCCTCTGCAGTCCCACCACAGGAGGGATATAGACCATTAGTAGGTGCTCAGGCTGGCCCAGGTGAGCATTGAGGCCAAGAAAACATTTAGTAGTGGGTTCCCCTGCTTTCTCTCTTGCTTATGGAGAGGGCTACTGCATTTTTGTTGCTGAAACCAAGTGCCTCACTACCATATGACTAGACATATCTTACTCCATGCCACAGAACAGCACTACCCTAAATTAAACAGCTGGGCTGTTCACAGCTGCACAGAATACGACTGTGATTAAATTTACACTCAACTGAGCCTCTTCCTGATAAAATAAAAATCTTTCCCTGCTGTTTAAAAGCATACTCATCCCTTCTAAAAGTATGCTCCACCAATTTTCATCATGCAAATGTTCCAAAACTTTGACCTGCTCTTAGTGCCTTTAAGAAGATGAAGTTTTACAGATTATTATTTCATAATTTGAATTAAAACCATAATTATTTGATTTCACAGTTATTGTGCACATAAATTAAAACCCTTTTCCAAGTGCTATAAAGTTTCTCCAGACATACATTAACTTTAAATTTTGTCCCCTTCTTACTCTAGTAATAACATTTTCCCTCTTAATGCAATTAACAATTCAAAATCTTGCTTCTGTTGAGTAAAATACCTGAGTCTAGAAATATTTTGACCAAAAGCTGCCAATAACTATGGCCCCTTTTAGTTTAAATACTACCTTTTAATCACTTATCTTTCATTTCTGAATACCAGTTTGTTTTGATTTCTCACTACTTCCACTTTGAACTGATGGAAGAACCTTCTGCTGATCTATATCTCTCCCGAGATATTTCAGAAGCAATTTCTGCCTTGGTTAACATTCCTATAGGGATGACATTCCACATAATATACATCTACTTATATGCTTTAGTTATTATGACAGTTTCTAAATACATAGTGTATTACCACTGTGAAAACCAAATGCTTCTAGCTAAAATTTCCTCCTCTGTTTGACATCATTAACTTTACCAGTACCCAACACAGTTCATACGCTCAAGTATTCTGGCTGTGGGATAAACTGAAATCAGCTTACATTTGAGCATGATCCTCTTTCAAGTATCTATACATTTCCCATTGCCATATCTGGATCATTGCCAGAATCCAGATTTCTACTCCCCCTATCTACGGTAAAATTACTATCCAAGCATTAATTATTGCTCTCGCTACTGCTTTCCAGTCTTTTTTAAAGATGCTTACAACTGCATTCTATAATTTCAATACACCTCGATTCCATGAAGACTCTCTTTATCAATTATTCAAAACCCAAATAACACCATTTTCAGCAGGCAACTCAAACATTCCTTCTTGAATTTCAAAACAACTAATTAATTTTTTTGACTCTCAGGGTGGACTTTTCTTTATCCTTCAGTGTACATATTACTGCGGGCTTGCCTTTCTTCACAACACCCTATGCCAACTCCATAAAAGGTAGACAGATTTTAGTTGTGCTTTTCAGCTTACTTGAAACTATCACATTTCTCTTTTTTTCTGGGGCACGGATTCACTTTCTTTTTCACACAGGTCTCCAAGTAAATGCAAAACAAATGTACGCCATTTTTCAGCTAACATGTGCAGAAAGCATCAAGAAACAGTCATGCTTTATACATTTTTGGGGAATGTGCCTTCATTAAATATTAAAAACCAAAATCCCCTGTCTTACCTGAAAGGGTCATACTGAATCACCTTGGTATGCTCAGGGTCAGTGGCTGCAAACACCTGTCTGATTTCTCGGGAACGAGATTCAGTTATGTCTTTCAGTTTCTTAAGGATGACACCAATATCAGCCACGGAGAACTTAACAGAGGAAAGCAAGACATAGATTAGAGAGAAAAGCACTATGCAACCAACTATGCATGTACCAGCAAGAGTTGTCATGATGCAGGGCAATGCTGAACCACTAAGTATCATTAGTTTATTCATTGTCTCACTTCAAATGCATAAATCAACACTGTGGTACATTTGGAGGAAAGCTTGCTACTGAAAAAAATTGCTTCCTACTGAGAATATAAAAAATTAAACAAAAATCATCACATCATGCACACTCAGAAAGCTTATTCCAGCCACATAAAAGGACATCCACTTTTCCTTCAAACATTGTATTGTTAAAGAAAAAGTAGAAACATTTAAAGTACAGTTCTAATAACATGGTCCTCATTTCATGTTGGTACACCTCACTTAATTCTCAATTAATAAATTTCACCAAATTAAAATTAATCTTCTCACAGTTGGCTCTAATGAACTGCCTCAATAGATATTCTCATTCACATTAGACTATGTTGTCTTATACACTCAGAATTAGCAGATTGGAAATTTGTTAGGAACTGATTTTTCCTGTCATGTAAGAAGAATGCTTATTTCTTCCTAAATAGGCCATTAAAATAAATTTGAATTTAGATAAACAGAACTGCAACACTAAGGATTCCACCCTATATTCAGATTGTTGTGTTAGAACTCTACAAAAGATTATTTGCTATACTTATTTTTAACATAAAACATCTATGTATTTAGTCATTAAATCAGGGTTGAGTCCAAGTATGAGTATCTGATATGTCCTTACATCTATCATGCTCCACCTAATTTACAAAGCACAATGAACTGTCTTAAAATAGGTTTTTTTCCATTTCTTCCAGTAAGCAATGTTTTTTTAACTAGCAATTATTTGAAATTTGGTATGACTGGTATTAAGGACCTAATCACAACAGAGATTGGGCCTCACTCCCAATTATGCTAAAGACTGTCTACAGCTTTGTATCAGTTCAAAGGGATCCAGAAAATGGTATTTGAAGTCCCTATGACACTGCCAGAGCAGTACAAATTGATCCAAGTTTAATTAATACACCAGTGGTTACAGGTAACATGCTCAGATTTAGAGAAGACAATTGCTGCCTACGCCAAAGCTCCAGGTACAGTCCTGGCATGCAATGCCATGCAAGGCAGTGGTGTGGAGCAGCTGGACCAACAACCAAAACGTTTTAGAGACAGCAACTTTTTCAGGCCCCTCCCCAAGCTGTTACTGTTTGGGCCATAAGCACACAGCTTTTTGCTGAAAAAGCAAGGAAGAGAGAATGAGGAAAGACTGGGCAGAAGGCATCAATGAGCAGAGTATTTAAAGACGGACAAAGTGTTCTGTCTATTTAAAAACCTGTCTTCTCTACATTATCAAAGCAGTTATTTTTACATCTTTTTTCTAAACTACATATTCCAAACACCTACATAGACATCGAGTATCCACGCAGCATGGCAATAACTCTTTACCCGCTTTTCCCCCCTTTTCATGTAATTCCGGACATGCTAGTAGTCACAATCTAGTTTTGTTTGATTGTCTTGCTTAAGTCAGAGGTTATGATGTTGAATTCAGTGGAAGTAAAATCAACCTGCATGTTTGTGCTGCAGAAGACTACAAAGTTTGAACAATTGAGACTGTTTCAGTGATGATAAATTCATTTCCAAGGAGGCACAGTGATGCCTTGTTTCAAGGAGTCCTCCCCAAACCTGGATAATACCAGTAGGACTGTGCGCAACACACGTTCTGTTTTGCAAGCAAATTTACATTTTCTAAATACATCTTTTTTTTTCCTCAAACTGGAAACGAAACTAAAAGTGTTGAAAAGGTTTGAGAATTAGATCCTTAAAGTTACTTTCGGTATAGGTAGCAATCAAAATGACAAGACTCAATGATTCTTCTCTCCCCATAACTTAAAAACAATATAATAAATACGATTTTGAAACAGAAAATTAAAACTTTTCAAATATCTCATATGGTATCAAAGAAATGTTTCAATGATAGCAAAATGAATTCCCACCTGCACTATGATTATCAAAGTTTCATCTAAATCAACATAAGCCTATAGACATGTGGTCAGAATGGCATTTTCCAGAAGAAAAACATTCCATCTGGATTTCTTTCACCAGTTTTCAGAAAACATACTGATGTGTTCCTCTGAAAGGAAACCTCTGTCTATTCAGAAGGAAAATTACTTATTTTCTAATTTTAGAAATAACTGAAAAATAGTCATCTTAAAATTGTTTCCCCTTCTTCAAACCATCTTCCAGCTCTGCTCTTCTCTAATAATTGCTGAAGTTCTTGTGATTTGAGTATGCAATCCCCTGATGAACTGAGGCAAACAAGGTGTGTCTTTACTTCTGGAGCTCTATTCAGAGGATGTGAATAAAGCATCTATCACTGGGAGAATAAACCTTTTTATCTACCAGCTGTTTTAAAGTCTTAATTGTGCAAAGAACATTTCAAAATTCACTTTCAAGAAGTATTTTTAGTGTTGCTTCTTCCCATTTTGCAGATTTTATTTTGATAAAATACAATCATTCAGTCTGGAAAACTAAGATCTCACCTGTTTGATCCAAGATAATCTATGCAAACAGCAGTTCCAAAGAACATTTACAATCTAATGATGTGTACTGCATTTTGGAGAATAGCTTTGGCTTTGATTCTACCAGGAGGAGAAACAGTCCAGCAGTAGGAAAACATAATGTATATAGCTTTGTATTTTACTGCTTAAAGCATTTAGCAGTTGTAGCATTTTACGTCAACGAGCATTTTGCAGACCTTCCTCATTATTCCAGGGAAGGCAGGTGGTGCTAACTCCATGTTAATTTACAAAGAAGTCACACCGTTCTGCTATTTTCATTTGAGTGAGAACAGCATGTGTGGCCCAAAGGCAGCACAGGGTCAGGCTGCATCTACCTCTGCCTCAGCAGCACAATGGCATCAAGACTCACAGTCCCTAAAACTGTACTAGGCCTACTGGTGTCTTGGGAGTCTTGCAGGTTCATTCACTTTGGTGAGCCAGCAGACAGGGAACAATCAAAACTTGCACTAAGAACCTTTGCCCTTCTCCATCCACAAAAGGCCTGGACAAATGGGCAGAGGATAAACGCTCCTGGATATTTTCCCTAGGGGTACTCTCAACAAGCCCATGCAAATGGCAGCTCTGCAGAAGGTCTGCTAAGGGCACCATTCATGCTGCCACACCACCATGAGCTATCAACCCTATGCACTACCCCAAAGTCCTCACAGCACAGTCTAATCCAAAGGCTGATGTTCAAGATCACACTGACAAAGCAACAATCCAGAAGAGGGATCATGATGCAGAAATGCCTTGGCTCCTGAGCCGACGCATTCTTAAGATGCGTCTCAGAGTGACCGGGTCAGAGCTGCACATAACAGGGATTTCCACGTATACCAGGGTACATTTATTCAAATATTGCAGCACAAACTTCATTGTAAAAAAATAATAATAAAAAAAAAAAAAAAATCTACATTTCTTACCAAACCAACATAAAATCCCACAAAAGACTCTGTGACTCTTCTGTGGTTCTCCATCCCTGTATCCCTTCTTTTTTGACCTCTGTGACAATTGCTATAAGACAATCAATTTCCTCCTACTGAATACATTTCTGGCTTTGGTGAATGAGGGCTTCTTTACCAGTCATTTCTGTAATGACTGGTAGCATGAAGTATACATCAGCCGAGGCATGCCAGCTCTCTATTTATTGTTGCTCTGCCCTCTAAAGGCAACACCAAAAGGTAGTGAAACTCAGTACAAACAGTAAGCTTGAATTCCTGACTGTGATATGAATTTCTAATATTACAAGGGAAATGTTTTGGCAGATAAATATGCATGAAGCAAAAAAATCAAATCAGGGAATATAACAGCCTCATCGATAAGACTCTAAATTGGATGTGCCCACATCTTGAGTACTGTGCACTGTTCCAGTCTCCACATCTCACAGTTGCCTTGCAAGGACAGACTAAAAAGGGTGAGACTCGTAATTAGATAGGATTAGGCTGTGGGGGAAGAATGTCTCAGATTTACAAAATTATGAAGGTGGTGCATAAGGTGAATGGGGATCTTCATGAAACCCCAGAACACTAGAACTGGCCTTGAAACTAGTAGGAGATTCATTTAAAACAGATAAAAGATACTTACTTCTTTTATCATCTTTTTTTTTTTTTTTACATAGTAGGCAGTGAACTTTTCAACTTGCTGCCACAGGAAGCTGTGAAAGCAGACAGTATCTGTAGGTTCAACAAGGGTTAGATGAATTCAGGGACAAGAGGTCCACAGTCTCAAGAAAGAATAGGCAGGGATATACCTTCTAACAACCTCTAATACAGTAAGAGTGGATGCTGAGAAAGTAGAAGGGGAATGGACAGCGAAGAGTGGCTAGGCTTCTGTGCACTCCCTAGCTAACATCTCCTAAATCCACTGCTAGACAGAGAGTACTGGGCTGTGAACTTTGATGAAGAAACTAGGTATAAATAATTCTGAAAAATATATAGATAAGGTACAGTCCTTAAAGATAACAGAAAATAACAAGAGCCTGCTTCACCTCATTTGCATGCTTCTCCATGTAGTTGAATGTGTACTCATCAGCATCCACCAAAAGAAAGTTGTGACCATGGAAACAAACTTTGGCTCCAACAAACAGATTCTGAGCCTTGAAGTATTCAGATGGCTCACTCTTAAAGAGCTCCTGCCCAGGCTTCTTAATGCGACCTCTTTCCAAGAACTTCCCACCAAGTATCCCTACGGGAATAGAATTGTAAATAATTAATTGTGGGTTTACTTGGGGGAAAAAAACCACAAAAGAAAACCCAAAAGACACCCCAAACCAGCTGGTTTGTATTTAAATATTAGTTTTCATCCCTGAGTTTCTTGTCTCATAATACACTCTCCCACTCCCTCTGGTTGCTAAAAGAACTGTCTCTGCCAGTGTCCACAGCAACAGTTACATTGTGCATATTCTGTGACATGTCTCATTTGAATGCCTGCCAAACACCTTCCCTTTTTTTCTTTTCTTTAAAATGGGACAGAAATGTGCCTCTTCAAATCGTTCCCATAACCCTGTCGCCAGCCTTGGGACTGACCCTTGAGAAACATAAGATGCAAAATGTAAGATGCAGGCAATTATCCTTGAACTGTTAAAGCAAAAAAGAAAAAAAAATTCACAACTTAGGATAGCACCGTCCTACGAAGATCATGAATTCTGGTGCACTGTAGTTCTAATTTGTTTTTAAGGGCTTTTGAATGTTAAAAAAAAAGTAGGAGTGACATGACACTATCTTCCACACACTGTTCTGCCAATGCAACTTAACTGCGATCTGTTATTTCCTTTGTGAGCTGGGTATGTCACATTATTTCTTTTCACATTATAATGATTTTATTTGTGCCACTGGAAACTGCACACGGTGCTCAAGGGTATGTAAGATACTAAAAGGAACGTTTTGCTTTCCAGTAGTATCTTCTGGATAATCCACAAGGAACATTTCCAGTAATATCTTCTGGATAATCCACAAGGAACATTTCGCTTTCCAGTAATATTTTCTGGATAATCCACAAGATTGCACTGCACGTACCAAGCTTTCTAGAAAACACTGTTACATGTTTAGTTTCATCAGGATATGTGTCCTACAGCAACTCTGGATTGCTGAGGGTTCGTTTCCTGTTTATATTTGAGCTTCCAAAGCCAAAAGCCAAAAAGCATACTTTAGTAACGTTTAATGATGTCTTACATATTAGGTAGTGATGCAAGTCCAATAAAAGGCTGATGAACAGCGTAATAAAATGCCTTTTAGAGTCAAAATTATAAATTAATGTGAAACCCAAACTGCTTATTAAACCAGATTTTGGATCAGATGTCTGTCTTAATTGCTTTACTAGCACCTTAAAGGCAAAAGACAAAAACCACACTATGGTAATTGTCAGATCTAGCTTGAATCAAAACACAATTCAAATCACTAATGTAACTAATCTCAATACATTCCTTTTCAACTAGCTATTAAAACAAATATGAAATTTTAGATTATATAATCCTGGTAACTGTTTGTAATATTTAAACAGAACTGGTCTCTGTAAGACTGGAACTTCACTCTTGTCTTTTTCCCTGCAACTGTGCACTTAGATTGGAAACTTACCTTAATACATCTGTCCCATAATTGTTTTTTAAATGTTACGGGTTAGTACATTTCAAGAGGTATAAAGGAAAACAACCAAAAATATCTTATTAGGTTAGAGATTTTACACTGAAACTTGATGAGAAATTTTGATGGAAATCTACAAGAGCCAGGCTCAAAGCACAAAATAAACACCACAACCAAAGGCCTGCTTCCATTAAGATCAGATCAGACTTTGCAGGTGTTTGTACAGCTGTTGGCTTGGTCTTACACTGAGTAAAAAAGGGGCTGTGATCTTCTGCATGGGGAGCCAAAGTTCTCATGCTTTGACCCCCATCTCAAAAAGTGCTTCAAGATGTCCAGCCCTGTGCATTTCAAATACAGTTTCACAGTGTTACTAATAGTGTGAAGTACTTGCCTACAATCTTCAGGTTGCTGGACTGAGAAAAGTATGAGCAACTTATTCATTCCATTTTAGGAGTGCAACTTGAAACATTTTTACTTGCCAATTGCTATCAATTCATGCAAATAAAAAGGCAAAAATAGCCCTTTGAACCTGTGCACAAAAGGGACGGTCAAGTTGTTATTTTGGGAGTCATTTACTGTTTTAACTCATCCCGCCTCTAAGATGTGCTCAAACTTACTCTTCTCCCACCCCATCCACTTCAACACTTTTCCTTCTCACACATGAATGTTCTTCTTGCTCCCATTTTGCATGCCCTACTCCTTTTTCCTAGCTGCTCTTATCTGACCTCTGCAAAGCCTTCTCATTCTTAACCTCAAAGAAACCCATTCACTTTTCCTTCAGACATGAGTAAAATGAGGGAGGGATAGAGAGAGAGAAGAGAAAGGGAGAAAAAAGAAAAGAAGGAAGGTGGGAACAAAGAAACTTCTGCAGTCCCAGGCGGCTTTCCAACTGCTGCTCTACCCCTCCCAAGCCCCCATCCCTACTTCTTATCCTGTCTCTTCAAGGCTGTTCTCACTACTCTCCAACGGCCAGTTCTTAGCCACATCCTTCCACTTCACCTTTCTACCACCTCTGAAAGTCAGCTACTCCATCCACTTTAACATCCCAGGGAAGTTAAAAACCCACTTACAGATACTTGCCTTTCATATGCATCTTAAAGCATTTGTTATTGTTGGTATGTGAATTTGCCCACTTATTGTTTCACATTTTGTTTGACTAGCAATGGTCAAGGGGCTCCCAGCTGTAATCCCAGCATATATTCTCATTCCAAAATAAAAGGAAGCCAGGAAGCAATCTCTGGCCTGGCAGCCATACTGCTGAGAGCCTGAGCAACTGACCACATCTGCATTGCACAGTGTGTGGCTCTGGCTTTGCTCTGGGTGCTATGTGATAAATCTGGGATCTTAAGACACAGCTATTATTTTTGCGTGTTCAAACCGTTTGAAGGTATGTGAGGGCTGTGCTGCAGTCCAACAGAGTGGTGTTTTACAGCATAAAACTGAGGGTATGTTTTGCAGTGCCTGGATGAGGTAGAAGGACCTGAATCTTTGAGTGTGCAAAACCTCCTGGGATAGTGTTAGAGGACTGATAAGGGTGGAGCAAGCCAAACCTGGTGCAGCCCTGTCCTTACTGCCTTGTAGGAGAGTTTTCTGGAGTTTAGCATCCCCCAGGAGGGGCCCCAGGCTCTCTGGAGCCTTGTCTAGTTGGAATGGTGCAAAGGAGAACCAGGAATGACCGAACAGGCAATATATATGATTGGGGTCCAAGATTCAAACTGTTCCCTGGACTTCTTTAATTTAACAGTGCAGCTGTACCCTTACCATCCTTTATGTCTCCAGACGTAAAGAATGCCAATCAAACATGTCATTCACTAGTGGGGAACTGAGCTGCTCTTGAGGCTCTCAGCAGCATTACATAATAAATATATACATAAGTGTATGTGTCTTTAGCTGTAATAAAAGAAGTTGCATAAATTACAGGCCACTGGATGGCAGGAAACTAGTAAAATAATGATGACAGGACACTGCTGCCAAAAACAGTGCTTAATCTTGATGTTGCAATGGAGCAGGGCTAACTGGGAATGCTCATTGAAGCCTAGGCAGGTAACTACGCATTTTCAAAACATTTCTCAGAGAATTGCTTGTATTTTAGTTGGGGGTGAGGTCCCTATTTATGCATTCGTAATATAGTTGGATACAAGCAGAGATGCCATTAGAAGTTCTTTGCATTGAAAATGTACAGGGCATTCAAAATTACTTAGTAGTACCACTGGCACAGAAAGAGTTCTCTGGGAATACAGAAGGGTCTAGATATTCACCACACCTTCATTTTTTATGCATGTGATGTTCATCATAGGTCTGAGAAGGATTAACATCAGAAATCATTTTCAGTAAAGGCTTAAACATAGGGTTGCAAGAATATTTAGTCCTTAACTGTAAGCTGAAAAACTGGACCTCAGAAAGTCAACCGCTGGCACCAGACCCTGAAGCAAAGGGGAGTGAACAGTCCTCCCTAGGACAGTCTTTGCTCTAGACAGTGAGCTGGTCGCCACTGCAGGGCGTACTTGAAATACCATACTAAAGTGCTCTGTGCCAAGAAGCCAATACAGGGCAATTCAAGCAGTATCGAAAGAGCTAGTCACGAGGTTCCACAAGAGCCTAACATGGTAACTAAGGAAACCTTCTATTACTCTTTTTCCCTTGCCTTTGAGAGAATGTGATTTCCTGATTTTTTTTCTCTCTACGGTTTTATCAGAGGCTGACAGCAGCTTTTAAGAGTCAGTCCTTTGACTGCACATGTTGAGAGGTGCCAGAGCACTTCTGGATGTCAACTGCTCTGAAACTGTTGCTGCAGATGTTTTGTGGGCTTCGCAGAAATACACTAATCTCTCCAGCAGGGTCATGCTTAGCCAAGGCCTCCCTATCTCTCTGAGTTACAGAATGACTTCCTGACATCCTTCCCAGTGCTGTGTTCTTCCATCCATGCACAAGACCCTCCACGGACATAAAAAAGATGCTTGAAAATCACAAAACCTTTCATATCCTCAGTTGGAGGCAGCCAACAACAGTGGTGAAAAGAATTTAACCATGACAACATTGGGTGACCATGCCCCAGCAATAGGATAAATGTGATCAAGTAACTGAGAAGTAACAGAGCATTTGTCATTAAACACTGGCAGTCTGGCCCTTGAAATTCAGTTCAGTATTATACACACACACACGCACGCATGCATGTACAGACAGCAGCACAGGGCAATCTTCACTCTTTATATGCTCAACACTACATGATTAATGATAAAGTATGTTAAAAAATCACAGCTGTTTTGCTCTCACGAGCTGCTTCTATACAATGGATGCTACACAGGTTTCATAACACCGTAACACAATCTTGCAAAACAAAGGATTTACTCTTTCATTCTTGATGTCTTACGTATCCTGTCCCTATTTATCATCAGTTACAATACATTCCTGTATGTTATCCACAACCAAAGCAAAAGTTTAAAGGCCAAATTTGCATATTAAAATGTAATAAAAGTTCTAATGCATTAAACTTCTCATTCCCAAAGGATATTGTGAAGTACTGTCATACAATGAACAGCGTTATTCTGAGTGATGAAGATTATAAATTACTATGACATAGAGCTATGCAAGATAATGCAGTAGACCTGCTGATGTAATTCCCATTGCATTTAAAAATCCACATCCCTGCTTCTGCTAGTGCTGAGTCTGGCCACAATGTTTACTGTAAACTCTAATCAAATGAGCAGGGCAACGGGGGCTGATTGCAAGACATTACTACATCTTACCTGTGTTTCGCTGTATATGTTCAAAAACTGAAATGGTGTCATCACTCAGGAAGTAGGAAATAATGAATTTCCGATCCTTGTCAATAGGACTATCTGTGACGAATTTTGCAAGAAAACGCAGTATGTTACTTTCCATGCCACTTCTAAAAAGCGAAAGAAGAGGTAAGAAATCAAAAACAGAGTATGAAAAAAGTTTTCATCACTAAGATACGTATTCTCCTGAGTTTTGTAACATGCATTGATTGTGTTATTCCTGGATCACGAAGGGAAATGGCATAAGATTCCGTACTTCGTCAAAAACCATTTTCAGCTTAAATTAACAGAACCAGCTAGAGTCAGCCAGACAGAAAGGAATCATTTTCAGGCGAAAATTACTGCTTTGCCACAGGTCTGGAATGAATTTGTATTCAAATTCAGTTGCAGATCAAACTCCAAGTTTCTTTCCAGAAAATTTATAAAGAAAGAACACATTTAGGTATGTATATTTTTTAAATCAAATTCTGAATAGCAATACGTACTAGGATTACCTCCACAAAATCAGGCCCACCAGATGATCTTACTAGTTGGATATTTGTTAAGTGATTGTGGTTTAAATTATTTACAGTACCACTATATGCCTATATGCACTATCAATACATTTCCAAGCCTTTTTCTAATAGCTTTCTTCTTTTACAGAGGTTCTACAGGTGAATCTCTAGCATGTGACTTGGCTTTCCACTTAGGCTTCAACAACCGCTGCCTGACAAACCATTTCGTAATGGAAAGTAAAGGGTTACTAAGTTAATATTGCTCCAGTAAATTGCATGAAATTCAGCAGACAAAAAAAGTAAATGCCAGAAAGTCAAACAGAAAAAACAAATCGGTGTTAGACTGCTGAAGCATACAAAATTCCTGACCAATTCCTGGACTAAGACTTCCATCAAACTCCCACTGAAGACAGGAGAAGGGAAGAAGGTAGGGGATAGGAGGGTCAGAATATTTGCCTTCTCAAAAGAGAAATTTTGCTGAGTTTGGAGAAAATTGGAGTACCATGTCACTAAACCAGTCCTCATGCACCTGTCCATTAAAAGTCTGATGAGCTGCATATTTTGCTGAAAAAAATGACTTTCCTACTTAACATTTATCTCCTTCACAAAAAGACATAATTTATAAAAGTTAGAAATATTTTTCACTGAAATACCTGTCTTTTTCCATGAATTTCTTGAAATCTCTTTGGGGAGGCTTGGGAAGCAGACCCATACAGGAGCACAGAGAATCCTCTTCAGAACCAAATCCAGTATAAGGAGGAAACTTTTTTTCTAGTTTTGGAGGTGGTAGAGCCTTATATGGAACTGGGGTGAAATCCTCTACAACAAAGACAGCAAAACTTATTTATTACTTTTCTGATGAAGCCATTCTACTAAGGATTTAAACTTCCAGTATGAATACTTATTAGCCTATTTCTGTAACGGAGCACTGATCAAAGTCAAACCAGGATCCCTCCTACTGTTACAAGGTAGAAAAAGACTCCATAGAAGCCAACAGTGAAATTACTGTTTCTTCAAGTGTTTCAGGATTTCATCTATAATCTTAAAATGTTTGACAAATATCATTAAGATACACAGGCAAGAGGAAAGACAAATATAGTTTCAAAATGGGATAAAATAATAAATTAACAATTCTAAATTAATTTTCCAGTTTTATCCTTTGAGACAACATGATTAAGTAAATACTTGGCTTATGAGTTTCCTGCCCTCTGCTTTTTGTCAGAGGAAAATAAATACATAAATAAATAAAATTTTATTCATTATTTAAATCAGACATATATGAAAAGATTTTGGTATGTTGAAGCCAATAGCTTCAGTCCATATCTCACTTCACCCAGAGTTTTGGAAGCTTTGTTTTTCCTCATTTTCCACAGCCTCAAGTCTTTCCTCACAGTGATCAATGGTCCTGACTATCCCACATATACAGCAGGAGCTCTCCTGACTCAGCAGAGACATGTCTGGTCAGGGACTTGCACTCACTTCCCATAGGGGTTGCTCCCAAAAGCTCTGCTGCCCTATGGTCCCTCCTCACTCCTCTCTTGGTGAAAATCTTGCTGTATCATTTGGCCCCTTGTTGCTTCCCTGCACCGCACTTTCGCTGCAACACAGCTTCCAGCTGCCAGTGGGGTTCATGTAAAACTTCAAGAGAGTAATACAGTCTGCTGGTTAAATAAGGTTAATGGAAAATGGAAACGGTGAGAGGAAAAAAGTAACTTATATATGGGAGAAAGTAAATGGGCAGGCCTGAGGCAAATGAAGACATAAATCATAGGAACACAGGATAATTCAGGTTGGACAGGACCTCGGGAGGTCTCTAGCGTGGTCTCCTGCTCAGGACAGGGTCAGCCCCAGGCCAGACCAGGCTGCTCCGAGCTGTGTCCAGTTGGGTTTGACACCTGCCGGGATGGAGGCTGCGCAGCCTGCCCTGGCAGCCTGCCCCAGAGAGGAAAGTTCTTCCTGATACCCAACCCTGAGCCTCTTGTTTCCACTATGCATGTTGTCTCGTGTCCTCCCGCCGCGTACCCCTGCGAGGAGCTGGGCTGCCTGGTCTCAGCAACCTCCCCATGGGTGGGTGCAGGCGGCTGCTCAGGGCCCTTCCCGGGCTGAGCAAGCCCTGCTGCCTTGGGTATTCCTCAGCCCTGGCCATCCTTGAGCCTCCCCTGAACTCACCCTGGCTGGTCCGTGTCTTTCCTGTCCTGGCAGACCCAAAAGGCGACACAGCACCTTGATGAGGTCTAATGAGCACTGAGCGGAGGGGGACAGTCACTTTGCTCGATTTTAGGGCAGCCCAGGCTGCGGCTGGCCCTCTTTGCTGCGGCCCCAAGCCCAGCTTGCTGCGTCCCACAACCCACAGAGCCCTTCCCACGCCAACACAGGTGCAAAGCAGGAAGGTGAAAGCCAACTGGTGCAGCACTGCCCATGTAGAGCAGCATCACCTCCACACCTGGGTGCGCTGGAGACCCTGCCCCGAAGAAGGGAGAGCTGGCTGGGCTAGTAAGTGAAAGACAAACACGAGGCAAACTGGAATCACAAACTGCAGCCCAGGGGGCAAAGAGTGACGCAAGTGACCGGTGTATAAAAGTGGATCGCATGAAATAAAGGGTTTTTCTTTAAAACTTAACTTCTCTACCCAGAACTGAAGAGACATGAATAGCCTGAACTTGTAGCATGGGTTTCAGTGCAAATAGAGGAGAAGGACAAAACTGCTGTCACTTGGAACATTTTCTGCATTGGTTCATGATTAAAATGTTTTAAACATGGCTATATCGCAAGATCAAAGCAACATACTCTCTTAAAATCTGACTTGTCTAACAGCAGTATGAATTTGAAATACATAGAAAGCATTCAGATGTCAGAGTTTTTCTTTAACTTGAAAACACTATGAGATCTCCTTTGGCCTTTACCTCTTAGAAGAACCCGGTCCAACTCAAAAAGCTAATACTTGCACCCGAATCAGTCAAAAGGGGGCTTTGCAAGACCATGCCAACATTTTTCTCCATAAATCTACGTGTGCCCTTTCTGTGATTCAGAAGTACGAAGGCCAGGCCCATATGCAAAAAGAAAGTCCATTCAGCAATTTCGAAAGCAATCTTCACCGTGAAAGAGTACGCGTGTACGTAAACACGCGCCAAAATACTCTTTTCTAAATACTGTCTGTGACCAAAAAAAAAAAAAAAAAAATTGCCTCTCGAGACATTTTTCAGTCTGCCACGTTACAGGACAGACACAGGCGATTCTTGCTACGGGCAGTACGCAGATCGACATCCACGGAGACGGAAAGCAAAGCCCG